ATAAAATCATTCTGTTGCAGCACGGAAAATTAAAAATGTCAGTGTTTGGCAATTTATATTGAAAACAAGTTGTTAGTAAAATAGTCTTTTGGAAGGAATTGTTTCCACTTATCTAAATACAATTAGATTCTCTAAATAGAGAAAAATTTTAAACCTTAAGTGACCATAAGATTTTAAAACATTTTAGGGGACCTAGAGAAATTTTGACATTACTGGTTTTGATTTAAGTTAGGAACCACAGCATATAGGAAAATAGAGTACACAGATCCTGTTCATATTCTTTCCTTTTGTGGAATTCATTGCCCCAATCTTGCATGATCAGAAGTCTCACAAAAATCTTATAATATTGATCTGTATCTTTAAAACTGTATTTTTCCCTTTTCTATCTTTGCTTTAGGGAACAGCCATTAAGAGCTGGAAGATGAAAGCTCCGATTCCATACTTGATTCTCTTATATGCTACTTTCACTCAGAGTTTGAAGGTTGTGACCAAAAGAGGCTCTGGTAAGCAGTGTTCCTTTTCTCTCTTTTTTATGGCTTAAATCGGTGGTGCTATGTTTACACACGTGCCATTTGTGGAGAGACTGAGAATTAACCAGAATTCATATTACAGAAATATTGTAGCTATATCTTTAAGTGAGTGGAGCATATTCATAGGGAACTAGAAAAGCAGGAATAGGTTGAAAAAAAGATGGCTTATTTTGTTAGTTACTATGAATTGGAATGGATTCAATAGCAAAACCTTGCAGTTTGATTTAATTTTATCACATGATTTTCAGGAAATTCTTTTATAATGAGTGTCATTTTAATTTTTGCATGGAAATATTATGAAATTTTTTTCATGTTAACTTTTACTGTTACCATTCCAATGTCAGCTATGCTTAGGGCAGACTTTTTTTAGGGTTGTACTTCAGCTGATTTGGTGAATTATTTTGCAGATATTTAAAGAAAGCACCAGAGTTCTTAAAAGAAAATGGAGAAATCTCCTAATATGTTAGTAGGAAATATAGAGGTAAAATAGAATGGTAATATGAATGGAGTTGCTAAATAAAATAATGTGAAACTTATGGGAAACTTTACGTTATCAGACATCTTGATTTTAAGTTAACTGTTGATACTTACAGCTAGTGAAATATATAAGGCAATTGAATAAACATTGTTATCAATGTGGAGTTGTATCTTATCTAATAAGTCACTGATACTAGAAAGACTTTCCACACACATTTTATGTGGGGTTACAGAATTTTTGAGGCTATAGCTTTTGGATGTAATGGCAAGAGAAATGTATTGTGTTTAGTTGATGGAACTAGGATGTGTTATTTATTAGTTCTAGAGAGATAGTTGGGTAAAAGAAGAGATAATGTACAAGAAACTGCAGAATGTTATGATATCACATGAACAAATGTATCTTTGGAATTCGTAAAGGAGAGAGAATGAAAGGGCTGAGATGGGCTGCAGCAACCATTCTCAGTCCCTTAAGTTAAGAAGCTTCAAACTCACATTGATTATGTAGTGAAAAAGGCCGCATGAAAGGAAAGTAGAGAGCAACTCCGAGGAAGTGTGGGGAGGAATTGAGGAGTACTTTGGGATGGTGCAGGGTTGAGCGTAAAAGGAATTTAACTGAGCCTATTGGCTCTAGAGCTTTTTGGTTATTATATACCTGTTATGTGTGCCATTGATATGATTGTAGGCAATGTGAAAATCTATGTTTACACATTATTTTATCTTTTCTTCTTGGTGAATCTTTTTGAATGAGAGAAAACCATAAAGCAGGATTATAATATTGTGGCTTTTTTGTAATTTGAATGGATTACTAGCAAATAGCAGATATCTTGATTTCTTTGCCACTTGCAAGGAATTTGGGCATACCCATGGAAGTGAGAGTAAGTGGAACGGGGTGTAAGTCATGATGAAAGCTGATAAATTCTACAACAGTGATATTTTCTAAAATAGTAACTTACATTAAAAGTACTTAAAATGAATGTTTTAGATGCTGACCACATAGAAGAGAAAGACTCATCTGTATAAATATTTTAACAAAATGAAGCTATCCAAAATAGAAATATTGATCGAATCTTAGAAACTTCATTTTTCTGATTATACTTGATTACATAAAATTGTTTTTTTTTTTCAGTCGTTTTTGTGTATGTCAGCTCTATGCTAATTATTTATTGAAATGCAAATGTGACTTTTTTCCATCATCAAATCGTGGTGACAGGCCCATTCTATATAAACTCTAAGGAAAAAACTTATATTAAATTGAGACTTATTTTGTATGTTCGAGAAGCATGGGAACAGAGCTAGAAATATGGGACAGTTGGAAAATTCATATCTCCTGCTCCAGAGACCTCAGAAAACTCAATGACCTGTCTCAGATTCAATTTTTATTTTAATGACATAATTATTTTAGGAGGGTGGTAATAAAATACTGCCCTAAGTTTGGCAGAAGTTCTGAGACCTTGTTCTATTTACGAATATAATTGTCATATTGCTACTTAAAACCTCTCAAACCGCATGTATTTTCTATTTCAAAATGTGAAAAATTAAGGCAGGTACTGAGATTTAGCGACGTGTTTGATTTGCTTACTTTTCTGTATAATGTGAATTAAAATAGCTTCCCTCAGTATCTATGTTAAGACCCAGCTGAATAGAAGTTTGTTTGATTTTTGAATATTGAGTGTGTAGTTTTGGAATAAATAATATTACTTTGCTTATTTCAGCTGGTGCCTGTTACCCTGCACCTCTGTTTAGAGAAGCAGATGTGTAGCTTACTGAAGAGTGTTATTACTGAATTCCATAGATCAAGTAGAAGCGGACTGCACTTGGCATTTTTTTCTTTAAAAGATTAATGGCTCAGTCTTCTCATACAGCCCAACCTATAAAACTTACAGGCATCAAGGCCAGGGAATAAAAATCAATTTTTGATGTTCAATCTCACATATTAACTAAGAGAGCTACTTATCTTTGTTCTTCTTATCATTTAATTCTCTTTTTATTTTCAGTTTTATAAATCTTTTTGGAAGGTCAGTAAACATGGTTCAAAACCCAATGCTTTTCATATACATCTTTTAGTAGAATATTATTTTTAATTCACTGTGACCACTCGAAAATCAGAACTAGATATTTTAATAACCAAGAACATATTAAATATGGTTATAATGCACATGGTAATGTTGACTTTTATGGCATGTTAATCATGTATAGTGTTTACTTTAGATAAACACATATGGTCATTACATAAAAGTTTAGAAGTAGTATTTGTTTCTCATTAACAGAACTAATTTGAAAGCAATAGGAGCTCTTTATACATAAGCCGTAGATGTATATTTTGTTTATTATATTGGCCAGTACCTCCATTGCTATTAATTTAATGAACAAATTATAATGAGACAGTTATAGCATAACATTCTTGACTGAAATATTAAAAATTAAACTTTACAATGCTTTGTTTTAAATGTCACTTTGGGTATGTATATAATTATAACAATCAAGCTTTGGATCTGTGAATCTGGTCTCTCAGGTAATGTTCTAAAGTTTTGCAAACATTTAGATTCAAGGCTCTTAATGTATGGAAGGAGATATTCAGCGTTTGTTATGCAATGGTTTTCCTCTTGGAACAATTTTATACATTGTTTTTAGTTTTCATAAGCAGCACTTGAAGAAAAAGACAAAGACTATCAATATTACCTATTCCTCCTCAAGTGTGTGAAGTGTTGTAGCAATTTAGTAAGTAAACATTTCAGTTGCTGTCATTTGTAGAATTCTGTACAAAAACCACATGTAAAGCAAATGTTTGCTTAGAAAGTCTTTGTATCTTAACTATTTTAGAAGGGTTAGCTTGATGTTCTTGTTTGTCTGTGTCTGTCTCTCCCTTCCTTCTTTCCCATCCATTCCTTTCTCTTTTCCCCCTCCTTCTCTCTCCCTCCCTCCTTTCCTTCCCTTTTCCTCCTTTTTTCTTTCTCCTCTCTGCCTCTCTTTCTCTCTTCTTCTCCCTATCTTCCATTCTTCCTTCTTCTTTATTAGTGTATTTGTATGCAAATTAGTTTATTTTGAATATATTCATTGTGTCTTTGTAGAAGTTTTAAACTAAAAATACTGCCATTACTTCATTTGAAGGCTTACAGTCTATGAAATGCTATGTCTTTACAAGGTCTTTCCAAGAGGATAATATAGTCTCAGTAACAGCTATTCTTAAATAGTTCTTTTTATTTTGTGTAACTAAGAGAATTTGGGATAGGATTCAGGGGGAGGGAAATAATATAAACTGTTGAGGGACTACTGTGTACAAAGTATGAGTAAAGCACTTTGGGGGAACTAAAGTGTGAGTTGTGATTTGGCCCAAGGGTTTGGGACACTGAAGAGAAATGAAGCTAGAGAGACTCGGATGTAGAGATGAAGGAAGAGAAAGGGATCTGGATCTTTTGTCTGTTTCTTTTTGCTCTCATATCCATCCCTAGAATATAAGATGGTAAGTGCAAGGACCATGATTTATCTAGGCTTATAACATCTACAGTGCCAGATATGGTGTGTGTTTCAGAGTCAAGGCTCAATGAAATATTTTAATGAAGTAATATTACATGAATGAATGAATAATGGCTTTAATGTTCAAGCTGGATTGCATCAGTGAGGATGCTACATGACCAACACGGTATTAGAAAAATAAAAGAGCATTCAAGAAAAACTGTTTTTTTATGAATAGAATTTAGTATAATTTATAATATGAGACTACTGAAGCAAAATATATAGTCTGAATAAGCAGTATCTAAGGCATGCTAATATGAAGACAGTGAGCCTTTGCAAATCATGAGTGTTTACATGAGCTTGAAATGCACGTGATAATTTGTTAGAAGGAAAGAAAAAATGATTATTTAAATTATTTGAATTTTACTACATTTACTGCTGCTTTAAAGAGGTACTGTCATGCAAATGTATTGGTTTTAACTGTGTTGTTTAATACAGATCACCATGAAAAGGGGGTTGTTCATGATTACTGATACACAATAACTAAGCAAGTGACTTCAGTATTAAAAAAAAGTTCACAATTATTGCAGCATATGGAGAAAAATTAGAGACTATTATAAAAATCAAAGAATACATCTTATTCTAGTGGGTATTTAAGATATATATATATAAGCTACCTAAAGCAGCCAGCTATTAGAGAGTAAAAGGGTTACCACAGGGGGTTGATATTTTCTTCATTCTAGAACCTGACAGTAGACACCTGTTCATGTAAAATGATTTAGATTCAGTTCTTTCTGACAGCAAGAGGAAGGCGGCAAGTCTCTCAAGAGGTTTGCCCAAACTCGTAACTCTAAGCTCGAATAATTTATAAAAGATAAGGGTAGTTTAGGTTCTCATCTTTGTGTTTGTTATTTCTGAAAAATAGAACTAGAAGCAAACAAATTGAATTTTTAGAAGAATAATTTAGTTTAGCTATTAAGAAGAATGCCTTGTTCTTAAATAAGTATTTGTGTGTTTATTATAAGTCTAATACTATGGCCAAA